TATTTAACTTCATCCCGTTTTGTTTTCCATTCCATTCTGCTGCGGATTTTGCTGGCCGTAATTTTTCTGTCAGCTTTGAAGCATTTGGCTGCCCGTTCCTTGCTAGGTTAACTGGCATTTGCTTATGAATCCAAAGTTGGGGGGAGGAAAGGGAAGGAGAAAAAGCCCCCCCCCCTCCGCAGCTCTTTAGAAAACAGCCACCGGAATGAAGTTAAATAAAGCTGATGGTTAAATGAGCCGCTCCCGCCATCTAGTGGCAGGTGAGGGGATCCAGCATCCATTCTGCATTGTTACCCAATTCTCCATTGCAGTGTTTCTCAACCTTGGCCACTTGAAAATGTCCGGACTTCAACTCCCAGAATCCCCTAGCCAGCATTCGCTGGCTGGGGGATTCTGGGAGTTGAAGTCCAGACATCTTCAAGTGGCCAAGGTTGAGAAACACTGTCCATTGCATCTTCAGCTGTTCGTCTTTTAACTGCTTTCTTGAAATTTATTTATTTTTGATTTGGCGTATAGCATAGAAAAGACCATACATGGATAACAGTAATCAAGTTATATAGAAAGAGCACATAATGCTACGGTACAGGTATGATGGGACGAAGTAGTCAATTTTGTAAGGTTTGAGGACACGACTGGACAGGGAAATCTTTTTATCTTTTATATTAATATTTGGGCCAGAAAGGTGAGTTCTTCCTAAGTAAAAGCAGCAAATTGTGTCCTCCTGTCCTGCCTGGGCAAAAAAAGTCATTCTGCCCAAAATCTATCCATTCATTGGTGCAAATGTCCCTTTATATATGCTATTATGCTAATATGTGTACAATGGGTAGTTATTACTCCTTTTTACATTTTACATTCTATAATATATATTACATTTTATCAACATCTTATCCCACTATAATATTACATGTTTTTCATCTATCCTTATATTTATACTGATCCCTATTTTCTAGTTCCTTAATCATCTTTCCTTGTTAATTTCCTAATCTTTACATCTATTATCTAACTAACCAGTTGTACCATATATTCCAAATCAAATAATATTCAGTTTCTCCTCTATCTTTTTTTTCCAAAATAATTTTTATTGAACGTTTTAATCTTTAAAAACAGAAAGAAAAACACAACAAGAAAAAACAAAACACAAAACATACATAACAATATAAAGTAATTATACAGCCTTCTGTGCATTGCCTTCCTATTGCTTTTACCTTGTCCTATAATATAACAACAGTAGTGCTAACACTTATAGTAATATCGATTATTTATATCCCCGTATATTTTACATTCTCTATTTTCTCTTTTGGCTGCTGTTTTCTAGCCACTTATATTGAATTGAGACGCGGCCACTTTAAGATACCTGGACTTCAACTCCCAGAATCCCAAGCCAGAAAGTCCCGCAAGCCTTTGGTTTGCTGGGAACTCTGGGAGTTGTAGGCAACCGGGCTGCCCCGCGTGTTCCAGACGTCAGCTCCCAGCAGCGCCTGCGCAGAGCTGGTGGGAATGGCAGGCGCGCCCTTCCACCAACGGCCAGAGCGCCGCCTCTTATCCGGCTCGCCCACCGCGTTCGGAGTTTTGCATAGCCCCGCCCTCCCGCTGATTGCCACGCCCCGAGAGGAGGGGATGCTACGGCAAGTGTCTCCCTCCCGCCCACAATTTTGCATAGCCCCGCCCTCCCGCTGGCTGCCAGGCCCCGAGAGGAGGGGATGCTGCGGCAAGCGTCTGCCTCCCGCCTACATTTGCATAGCCACGCCCACGGTTGCCGGGGCGACGGGGGACGCTCCCGCGGACTTTCCCAGTCGGTTCCTGGCTGTCCAACCGGTGCAGCTCAGCGCCAGCGGAGCCAGGATGTCGGGGCAGCGGGAGGAGCGGGAGCTGCAGGGCTTCCTGCGGGACGTGGACGAAGTCGGTGAGCCCTGGTGGGGGGAAGATACGAGGGTCCCCCCAGGGCAGTCAGGACCCCCCACCTGGCTCTCTCTGCTTGAGGAGGGGGCTCTTGGACGAGACCCCCCCCCAAAATAAATCTGACCTGGTTGGTAGCATTTATGCAGCCCCCCCCTACGAGCCCCCAAGTGTGTAAAGGGTGGAAGCATTTATGCAGCCCCCACCCCCCTCGAGATGGGGGTCTCCCCAAGAGGCTAAAGACAGGGAAGCCCTTGGAGGCATTGCAGGGGGCTGGAGGGGTGGGTGGGTGGGGGTCAGCCGGGGTCCTTCTTTGCTAGGATAGAGGAGAAGCCCCTCGTTGGTGGGTGCCAGGATTAGAGGGGAGGGGGTCTCTGGTTGGATCACTGCTCACCTTTGGCTCTTTTCTGATCCTTCAGATTTCATCTTCGCTTTCAGAAATCCCCCCCCCTTGCTTTCAGGGAGATCACCCAGTGGTCCACTTTCCCTTCCACTCCCCACTCCCCTGACATGTTGAGGGAGTATGGGGGGGGGCAATATTGGGAGCTGAGGTTTCCCTCACCCCAAGCACCGAGTCCACAATGATCAAGAGCGCTGGGGCTCCGGTGGCAGCTGCCATCTTGACTTTTTTGACCTCCTCTGGCAAACATTCCTGGGGCTTAGAGCTATTGTTTTTCCTCTCTGCCTTTCAAAAAACCCACCTTTCTTAGCCGCCTTGATTGAAGGCCTGAAGTCCGAAGATCCCGCCGTCCAGGAAAAAGCCATGGCAGCGACGGAGAAGAGACTCCGGTCTGTTTCGGGCAAGGACGGGAAGAAGCCGAAGCCGAAAGTGGATAGGACAGTGATCAACACGCAGCCCTCGCCGGTAACCCTTGACCCTTCCAGAGCAAATCACTTAAGCCAGAGTTTCTCAACCTTGACAACTTGAAGATGTCCGGACTTCAACTCCCAGAATTCCCCAGCCAGCATTCTGGCCGTCCCTTCTGGGAGCACCCCAAAAATGTTTCCCCCAAAGGCTTAAAGAAATGCAAGCACCCCTGGAGCAAAGCAGATTTTAGACCAAGAATCCAAAAACTCCTATTTTAGGCCAGATACTGCTAAAAAAACAAAACAAAACAGAAGTGCTTGGGCGGGGGGTTGGACTAGATGACCTACAAGGTCCCTTCCAACTCTGTTAATCTAAATCTGTAGAGTAGCTGAGAAAAAGTCCCAGCTGAAGTAAATACAGATCCCCACTCCCTAACTCAAAGCTGGATTTGAAAAAAATAACTTTACCTGGGATCCAGTGGAAATCTTTTCCCATCCACCTTGCAAGGGTCAGAAGAATCAGAGCTGGGAAGGGAGGGCATCTGGACGGTCTCTTAATTCTGAAAAAAAATTGGGATGATGCAAACACAATCCTGACCCCTCGAAGGGGCTCAATTGTCTGGCTGGATTGTATCTAATCGATGTCACACACAATTAGTCCGATTCATCCAGAGACGTTTCATTTGTAAGCTTAGTTGTTTTAAAAAGATGTTTATCCTCTTTTTTGTTATGGTATTAGGTTAGGTTAAAATATTAATTATAAAACGTAACCCTGGAAAAGAGAAAAGGCAAAATATTCAGTTCTTTAAATGAAATAGAATGGAATAGAATGGAATAGGAATAAGAAGAGGATTAGAAATAGGAATAGAATACAGAATTGGATGGAATGGAATGGAATAGAATAGAATAGAATAGAATAGAATAGAATAGAATAGAATAGAATAGAATAGAATAGAATAGAATAGAATAGAATAACAAAGTCGGAAGGGACCTTGGAGGTCTTCTAGCCCAACCCCCTGCTTAGGCAGGAAACCCTACACCACTTCAGACAAATGATTATCCAACATCTTCTNCGGAGACGCACCTTCCCTACAACCGGCATCTCCAGGTGCGTCTCACGGTTAGGCTTTCCAAGAGGAGGAGAAAGCAAGTCTTGTCCTTTTGCTCATTGTAGGGGGTGTCTCTTCAACTGTGGTTGTCTTCAGCTCCTGCAGGAAAGTGGGGTGGGGGCAACGGAGGGTCCTTTTTAGCCTTCCCACCCTTCCGACGCTCCCCCTCCTTCGGAGGAAGGCCCTGATAGCCAAGCAGGGAGATTTGGAGCCCTGGAAGATGGTGGCAAGAAGGTTCACAAGGGCAGGAATGTACAGGGGGCAGGGGGTCTTTCCAAGGAGGGAGGGAGGGTCCTGAAAGGTTTCCCATCAGGCAAAGCCCCTTTGGTCAGTCCTGCTCTTCCCCTCCCCACCCCTCCCCATGTCCTTAAGCCCCCAGCAGCTCCCAAGAAGGCCGAGAGAGATGAGGATGGTGGAAATGTCCTCTTTTTCCACACAGCCCTTCCTCTCCCCGTCCATTTAAGAGGGACACCTCCTGCTCCTCTCACCTGGATGGAAAACATGCCTTCCTGTGGGGTGGGGAGAAGTAGACCCAAAGCTGGTGCTGTGGAGAAAAGTTGTGGGGCTCCTGAAGGCTTGGGAAACCCCAGCCAGCTTCCCGAGCAGGAAAATTTGTTCTTCAGAACGTTCTGGAGAACATCAGCTGGAGATCCCTCAAAGATAGACATCTTCAAACTTGGCAACTTGAAGACTTGTGGACTTCAACTCCCAGCTATGCTGGGAGTTGAAGTCCACAAGTCTTCAAGTTGCCAAGTTTGAAGACGTCTGCCTTAAGGAGAGGACACCATCTCCTGACCATCGAATGGCGCCCCCCCCCTCCTCTTCCTTCTCCGCAGGGAAAGGGCTGTGGGGGGGGGGGTCCTTATGGGGCCTCCTCCTTTTCCTCCTCTTATTTTTTTTAAAAGCCGGATCTTTCCGCTCCATGTTATGTTTATACCGGTGTTATTTTTTTTTAATTATTATTATTATTATTTTCTAAGGAGATAAGAAACTTTGAAGAGGGACCAACCTCCCCCGCTGTTTACAATGTGTACATCTAAGATATGTATGCGTCATACATGCCTACCTTATCTATCTGGCATCCATACTTCTTGTAGTAACAGTAAACGTGTTTTAATCATGCAATATATTAGAGGGGGCGGGGGTTTAAAAAAAGAGAAGACAATAGCACATCCTTCGCTTCGTTTCTACCCAAAAGGGTTTCGTTTGTTCCCAACTGTGCATTTTCTTCTGCACCCCCTTTCCCCCTCCGTCTGTGGGGCGGTCTCCAGAGCCCTGGTTCACTTTGGCAGTGGGGGGGGGGACGGTGGCTCTCTCCCCCGCACCCCCTCTGCCTACTCCCCTCCTCCAGCATTCCTCTTTCAGGGGCCTTCTCTCTTGTTATAAAAAACGACACAAAAGACAAAAAACTTTTTACCGAGTGAAACATGGGTTACCACCTCTTTTGCCATTCTCACCAATGTAAATACTGGATACTAACGGAGAATTTTGACTTTGCATTCTGTCACAATACTTGTGTTCAAATAAAAATTACCAAAAAAAAAAAGGATTTTGCGTAAGCCTCTGTTGCGTTGGTCTTGCCTGGCACTTCCAGGAAAGGGATATTCTTTTGCTAGGCATATTANCTCCCTCCCTCTCTCTCTCTCTCTCTCTCTCTCAGAAATGTTGCTTTTTCTTTCCTGTTCCTTTTCCAGAGCAGTGGCTCAACTATCTATCTCTGCATTCTGCCTCTCTCTGCAAATAGAAACTTCGGATTCCCGTCCTAAATTGGCTGCCGCTTTAATGAAGCGGCCTTTTGTAGCTTTCCGCTTCGCATTTCTCCGAAATGGCTTTGCTCCGTAATTTGACTTTCCTTTTCAAACACCCACGTCCTCTTCCCTGTGGGCTGAATCTCTCCGTCTCTGCTTTGCTGACTTCCAGAGAGCTTCCTGGTGGCTTTAGAGAAGGATGCCCAGGAGCGAGCCAGGAGGAGGAAAGAAAACGAAGCCTCGGCAAACGGTGAGGGTCGGACGGGGCTTCAGCAGAAGCAGCTGGAGCTCCTGGCTAGAAACCAAGTCCTAGGCCTCGACCAGAGGTGGGATTCAGCCGGTTCTGAGTGGTCCCGGAGAACCGGTAGCAGAAAATTTGAATAGTTTAGAGAACCGGCAAAAACCATCACTGGCTGGCCCTGCCCCAGTGGGGAAATTATTTTTTTTTACTACCTGTTCTGTGGGTGTGGTTTGGTGGGTGTGGCAAGGGAAGGATACTGCAAAATCCCCATTTCCTCCCGATCAGCTGGGAAACGGGAGGCAGAGAATAGATGGGGCGGGGCCAGCCAGAGGTGGCATTTGCCAGTTCTCTGAACTACTCAAAATTTCCGCTACCGGTTCTCCAGAACCCGTCAGAACCTGCTGAATTTCACCCCTGCCCCGCCCCCATCTATTCTCTGCCTCCTGAGTCCCAGCTGATCGGCTGGGTCTTCTTCAGTTGCCCTGCACAGGAGAACGGAGCTGGAAAGCAGGTTGGTGGGCTGGGGAGCAAAGGGGGATTTTGCAGTAGCCTTCCCCTGCCATGCCCACCAAGGCACGTCCACCAAGCCATGCCCACAGAACCAGGTAGTTTAAAAAATTGAGCCCCACCACTGGCCTTGACCCCCCCCTATGATCTTGGCAAAGCTTTCACGGGGCAGTTCAATCCTCCCGCAGTTTTGTGAAGCATCCAGTCTTGCTTGCTTGATCTCAAAGCATCGTTGCAGCTCAACAGACAGCAGCAACAGTTCGACAACACCAGCAGAAATTGGCGCTTCTTGAATCCCAAGAGGGCCTACAAGAACTTGCAGCCAACTCACAACAGCCAAATCGCCGCAGGACCAAAGTTCCACTAATCCCCCCCCCCCAAAAAAAAATAACGCCATAGAATGATTAAGGAAAGGATGCCCAAGGAGGGACAAAATGAAGCATGAGGGATAAAAAAAAAATAACGTTTTAATTATTTTAAATCATGAAATTGAATTCTTGAAGCGAGTTGTCCCAGGTGAGGCGCAGAAGCTAAAGCTATTTTTATTAGAACCGATACAGGATCACGACCCTGCACGCCTGAAAGAGCTTCCCTGCCTCCCTTTTTAATCTTATTTATGGGGATTAAGAGGGGTGGGGGCTCCCCAAGATGCTTTCTCAAGTCTCGTTTCTCGGATGGCGGCCTCGGTGGCAGCTCTTCCCTCTGTCTTTCGAGGCCATTCTCAACTACAACGGCTTGGCTTATTTTTATTTTACAAAAAATGCCTTTGGTTATTCCGCCTTCCCCGCAGCCCTGAAAGAGAAGGGGAACGACGCTTTCAGCCAAGGGGACTACGCTTCGGCTGTGCAAAACTACACGGAAGGCCTGAAGAAGCAGAAGGACATGCCCGCCTTGTACACCAACCGAGCCCAGGTCAGTGTGCCCGCGTGCGCCTGTTTCAAGGAGACGGCCAGCGGTGAAATTCAAAAATTTTTACTACCGGTTCTGTGAGCGTGTGGCTTGGTGGGTGTGGCTTGGTGGGCGTGGCAGGGGAAGGTTACTGCAAAATCTCCATTCCCTCCAGACCAGCTGGGACTCGGGAGGCAGAGAATAGATGGGGCGAGGCCAGCCAGAGATGGTATTTGCCAGTTTTCCAAACTACTCAAAATTTC